CTCCTGGACTGGATGCCAGCCCATCGCTGGATACTTACTCACTCACGCAGTGTGGGAAATTTTGAGACACCAGTTAACTGCATGTCTTTGGACTAAGGGACCAATCTCAAGCACCTAGAGGAAACCCATGCAATGCAAAGAGAGTGTGCAAACCCCCCCCCCACACACACAAAGCAGATGCGGATGGGATGCCAGTCCATCACAGGGCGCACAGTCGAACACACACATACAAAATGGCCAATGTAGAGACCTCCCATTCGCTTAACCAGAAATAATTGACGTGCAAGGACACCAATCAGTGTCAGGGCCATGGGTGGGGTCAAACCATTTTTTTTTAACATCTGATGATTTTCCTGGACCTATGCTGATCAGGCGCTAGCTCTGACACGCAATCAGACCCAGGAAGAACATGCAAACTCTCACGTGGGACTGAGCTCACAGCCCCGGAGGTGTGAGGTCGCGGTTCTGCTCATTAAGCCTCTCTGCTACCCTCAAGTTTCACTTCAATTTAACTTAAATAAAGATTTGTGACTTTTCCCGAGCGTCGGCTCTCGATGTTCACCGACATGGTTCATCAGGGGACATCCAGGAGTGCGGAACACCCTAGACCTGTTTGTACCCCTGAATAACAAAGTCACTCTTTCTAATTACACGCCTGTTTGAGGAGGAATCCAGCCTGTCCTAAAGCAAACGGCCACGACAGCGAAGAAGATTGAGAGGAGCTGCCCTTTGACGCAACTCTCGCATTCCGGCGCAGCGCTTGCGGGTCCCACGCAGACGCAGACAAAGCCGCATTTCTCCGCATCTCGCACGCACACGCATGCACTCACGCAGCAGTCTCATGCTCCTAGTGGTGAAAAACAAAAACTATGACCTATCCAAGGTTAAAATGCACATCATCCATATCCATATATTTAAAGACCGCCTGTAAAGTGGTTGTTGCGATCAAAATGGCGTTTGCCTGCCTGGACACAGATTTCACTTCATCTAAATAGTTCTCTGACCGGCAGCCATGATATTATTCTCTGTTTATAAGGGCAAAATGTTAACCATGATTCAGAGCTAAGCCCCACCTCCTACGTCGACATCACCGCACGCGTTATATCTCTGATGGGGTAGGTTAGGACCCTGTGCCTGTGATCGGAAGGTCACCATCAGCAGAGTGATGTCACCATCAGGGCCCTAAGCCTTAACCCCCCCCCCCCCAAAAAAAAACTCCACAGCCCAGCTGACTCTGCAGAAACGTGCATCTCTTTGGATAATAGCGTCTGATAAGCAGATGTAAATAAATGTAATGAGCGTAATGATTGGCTGTCAAGGGAGCAGGGATACCCTGGTAGGGTCGGGGGGGGGGGGGGGCAGTACTGCTTAGGGCCCCCGAAATCTACTGATGTGCCTCACGTGGCTTGGGACCCCAGATTGAAAGTGCCAACCCTAGCAAGGAGTCTTCTAAGGAGGCCGTTCTGCTGAAGGCGAGGGGCGGCATGGTGGAGTAATTCCGTAACTGCGTGGGGGCTTCCCCGTAGAAGGGGTTAAATGGAATATTCCAAACAGGTTAACCTCTCTGAAATGGCATAATCATTGATATTATTCCGTACGGAATCCTGTGCCCCTGGGGACTGCTGCCTTATCCGGTTACATATTCATGAAACCGCCAGTGACATAAACAAAATGAAATATCAAAATATAAATAAGAAAGAAATCAGGGAGAGACTTGCCGCTCCTAATAGAGCTAGTACATGCTGGGGGGGCGGCTTTTGTATTTTGTGATTACATGTGTGTCATTCAGACCTCATACCAGCTCATTCCAAGGTGCCCCCCCATGATTAATCTGTACAGTAAACCTGTTCACTACCACCAGGTCCCCCGATTTTCCAGGTCTGCCCTGGAAAGCCCTCGTACCCGGTTGGCACTCAAACTTCTGGCCAGTCCCCGTTGAGGGAGATTTACCTTCTGGAAGGTTCTGGAAGAACTTAGCCTGCTCTCATTTAGCCACTGCCCCCTTCCCTAAGAGACAGCAATTAATCCAATTGTGGCCACACTGGGAACCATAGCCTGCCCCCCACCCATACTAGTAGGCAGTATGACAGCGGCTCTTGAATTATTAATCTCTTTATTTCTGGAGTTGGGGGGCCTCCGATGTGGGGGGGAGCCATTGATCACCGGGAGAGCACGGCAAGCACACTTGAAATGCTGCCGCTTTTAAACAAATTGCACATTACTTTGCCGGGGGTGGTGTTATGTAGCAGGGGGGGGGGTAGAGGTGGAAAAGGGGTAGTTTGGCAGGAGAACAGGGTGATGGAGAGCGGAAGGTGGGAGGTGGAGATGTGGGAAAGGAGAGGGAGGAGGCAAGGAAAACAGCCGGGAGTGAAGTGAGATGGGGGGTGAGCTGGGGTTGTGGTGGGAGGGGGGAAAAAATACGAGGGATAGAAGAGGAATAGACATGGGATTCAGGAGTAAAGCAGGTACAGAGTATGGAGCTGAAGGAGGCCAGGGAGGTGCATGGTAGAGGGATTTACACGTAGCCAGTGAGCCCCCCCTTTGGCCAGCAGGGCAGCTCATTAAGGGGGGGCTATTTTTAGATGGACTATTGCTTGGGGGCGTGCTGAGGAAATTAGGTACCAAGCAGCTAGGGGGGCCTGCTTCAAGGCTGAGGCACCGTCTGTCGTTAAAACTCACCGCTAATGAGTCACGGGCACAATTCACCCAGGGAGGGCCGTCTAAGGGAGCTTCTGGGCCGCGTGAAACACCCCTTTCATTTGGGAGGGGAAGGGAGGGGAGGGGGGGCAACACATCATAAATTAATCAATCAGTCTGCGAGCAGAAGTTTTGATTTAATGTGTATTTTTCCCATCTACTTCCGATCTTTAACTAGGCCATTAGAAGATATGCAAATGTGGTATGTTTTTGTGTTGGAAGGAACGGTAATTATGCACAGCGTCTAATTACCATGATTTTGCAAAGCACATGGCATGGCCTTGCATTTTCATCATTGATTATTGAATGTTTATTGACTTGGATGGATGGATGGATGGGTTAAGACTAGTGTCAATCACTCAGACGTACAATGCACAATATCTGGGCCAGATTTGGCGTCCTGAAGTGACCTTGCTCCCCTGTTTTATGGCAAAGGCTGCCTTGGGAACCTCACGCACGGGAGAGCAGGTCACCAAGCTGCGGCATTAATACTCGTGCCGGCAAGTAAGCTCTACCTCTGACGGAACCCGCAAAAACCAGCCCAAAGCTCTTCAGATCAAGCTCATCATTTCTCTGTCCAGAAATGTCACATTAAAATATTTTTTTGTCATGAAATTTAAAGGATACCTGTTATTCTATCCAATGCCATGCCATTATTTCTCTCAGAAACCGCACTTGAATTATCCATTGGAATGCAACGATTTTTTCAAGGGTTCAACCAAAAATATCAATTTCACCGTCAGTTTTCTCATAGAAGCTCACACCCCCACTAAACTAGATACCCAAATAAAGCTTGAAAAGTAATGCTTTTTTTCTCAGGAGATTCATAGCAAAATCCAATCAATGCGTGAAAATAAAACAAACCTACATATCAAATATAACCTAGACCAGCTTTCAGATTTGACTTGTTGCTGCTATAGAAGAGGACAAGTCTGGGTCCTTAGCGGTTCCTAACATGTAGACTCCTGTAGAGTTAGTGTCTGTTCAGATTTATGTGCTTTAATTTTTCACAATGTGCTTAAATCTTGTTCTGTGTCTCTCTATCCTCTCTCACTTGGTTCTGGTGTGGAATGAGGATAATTTCTGTGTGGGATTCCGTGACACGAATTCCCATCTCTTTATGCAACATTTTCATAGGATTTTTGTTTTAATGCATCCGTTTGCTGACCTGCAGCAAGTACCATATAAAAACGACCCTTAAAAGTAGGCCAAATGGTATTTCAGGAATGCATATCATTGCCCAGATGACTGTAGGTGCTATTTTGCGAATATATTATTAATGGTTTTCTTGTCAGCCTGTTCTAAGGTTTTCTGCTATCCAAAAAGAGCTTGAGAAAATACCCATGCTATTGTCTCTTAGCATGCGTCGCTCTACTCCATTCCAAGCAAAGGCATTAGCGTCTGGCTTGGGGTATCTCGCTTAGCATGGCTCTGTTGCTTCGACTGCAGTTACACGCCTGCTGCGATTGACCTCGTTTCACTGCTGCTGCTGATACAGTGTTGGAGAGGATCTACTGCATAGTAAAAAGTCCTCCTTAGTGCTGGGCAGGGATCTCTTCCAAGAGGCACCTCATACTGCACCATTAGAGACAAATTAAAATTGAACGATACTTTATTAGCATGAAGTACATTGAGTGAATGCGTGTAATTGCTTTTACTTTACTTTACGCCGGGATTTTTTTGGTGTGTTTTTTTCCCTTTCTGTCAAGAGGAATTAGAGTATGGATAATCACAGGAAGAGAGATCGAATCAGACATTACTAATCACTCAGACATAAGTGACTGGTGAGAGCAAGCCGGAAGTTTGGATGATGTCATCAAGGCATCGTTTCTGTTACTTCGCGCTGGAACGCAGAGGTGTTACGCAAAATCTAGACATCCAGCTGGCCAGTTTTCTTTTTATGACAGACTCTTGCTCCAAGTTGCTCCAAGTACTGCGCTTTACAGAAGCACCACGATAAATCTGACAGAGGGGCTCGCGCCGAGAAGGGGGTCATTTATGAGTCAGTCCTCGGTTCAGAGTCCTGCAGCTGGCTTTGTTTAGACATCCATGGCTCGACTCTGTCAGGATGCCAGGGTCAAGTTTACGTTGGGTGTCGTTGACCCTTCCTGCTGCTCTGTTTACAAGTCGGCCTAGGCGGTCATTGTCCGGTGTTTGCTGCATAATTGTCTTCCAGGATGTGCATCCTGTTTGCGGTATATATATATATATATATATATATATATATATATATATATATATATATATATATATATATATATATATATATATGACTTCTAAGACATGTATCTCTGTTTCAACAGGACTTTGAAAAGGACCCGCCCTTTGAACCTGGATTTTTCTGTGGGGGTCCAACCCCCACACCCGCTCCCCGCTCGGCTGCTGGAGGGCGGTTGCTGAAGTGTCGTTTGATTGGACGGAAAAACCGCCAATCACTCTTGACAGTGAGTACAGCTTGAAGCTCTTCCTGTTGCTCTCCATCTCGGCACACGGCACTTTTCACATCCTGTTACACCAGGCTATGGCAGATTTCACCTTTCAATTTCTGCGATTCTTTGAATTCATCGCGGCGTGAAGCTAGTCTTTCAGTGCCAGCGTGACTGTGAATGTTTAGCTTTTAGCCTAAAAACAACCCATGACTGTAACCACATTTTCACTACTCACATGAAGCCATATAACATGGGTCCAGTTCTAGCGGTTTAAATACAAAAGTCAGAATATTCTTTTGTATATTCAATTCAGTTTTTCGGGATGATGTAAGTTGCTGGATAGCCATAATCATATGGGTTTTTGTCTCTCATCGCCATCCCTTTATAATAATAAAGGCTCAGTGCTGGGAGGAGGTCCAGTGAGAAGGGATTATTCCTAATTATTCCAGAACCATCTTTTGCAAACTTAAGCAAATTGCAAAGCAGATCTATATACATAGGGAAAAGCATAAATTAGCTTAGTACAGCGCAGGATAAGGCCTTTATTATGGAAGTAAATGATATCTGAAGGGAGAGCTTGGGGTATTAATACAATGTGAATTTAATGCAAGACACGCTTTTGAGGCATGCTTAATGGCATACAGCAGCGCAGGCTGTCAAAACGACACCTGACTCCCGTCCCTCGAGCCTGAAGCTGAAGACCACCCTGAACGAGGTTCTGGAAGCGTCCGTCACTGCCATCCCGTGACCCCTGTTTAGGCACCACCCCCCCCCCCATTATGCAGGACGCCGTCGGGCGTGAGCCAAAGGAGTGACGGCATCAGCGGTCAAAGGCTCGCCGAGCACAGCGGAGCCGCTTACCGCCGGCACCTTCTCCGCGGGGCTGGAGAACCTGCGGGAAAAAATGTAGGACAGCTAAAGAGTGGAGAATAAAGGCGAGGAAGGTCCCTTCTCCTCCTGGGACGCTCGGCCTGCCAAGCCACGAAATCTCCACCTTCCTGCTGATCAGATATCGATAATGAGCCGTGACAAATTTCCAATATGACTGAGCTTTCAGCCTTTTTATAGGTCGCACATGGACACTCTGTGACCTTATGTCACCAAATGACCACTTATATACTCAGAGTTTATTTCATTCACGAGAGTCAATGGTATATTTCCGTGTCTGAAGAGAATAAAACGGTGATACTTTATTAAATTCTCTTTTTTTCCTACATTTGCTTGGGGGCTCTGTTCACACGTACAGTGTGAACAGTGTGAACCCTTTTTATGCCTTTTCTGTGCACCTGTATTCGGTTACTCCAAATTTATTCAATTTTATGTGAAATATTTCCAAATTGCATTGTTTTCATAATCCTGTGTGAACAGCTGTTATTACGTGAGGATAATCATTTCCCTACCATCAAGCCGATTGATATATAATGGAACAGTCGCCACCTTTGTCCTGCTTTCCGCAAGGTGTCGTGTACACAGGCGTGACGCACCCGAGTGTCACTGGCGTCACAGTTATCCCGCCCAGCCGGAACCCAACGCTCATGCAGAGAAGGCGCTCAGTCGCGTGTCTGTCAGCACCAATGAACTGCGGGAACTCATCTGTTACAAGTAGATACGGACTTATCTGACGCAGAGATACGGCGCCCCCCGCTGGAGGGGCAGATCATTGCAGTGGGACCAGCAGCTCTGCTGTGACCAGTGCTTTCTCCTTATGCGTGCTTCCAGGCAGTGTGTTTTTACCCTCCAATTTATGCCATTCTTTGAAATCATCGCACCATGAAGGTAGAATTTCAGTGCCAGCATGACTATGAATGTTTAGCTTTTAGCCTAAAAACAAACCCATGACTGTAACAATGTATTCAGTACTCGCATAAAACCTTATAACATGAATCCCGTTCTACTGGTTTGAATATAAAGAGTCGGTATAGTCTTTGATGTTTGGTTTCATTTATCGGAGTGATGTGCTGTTTTTCTGATGGGCGAGATGCCATTACATGACTAACATCACAAATGTTTTCCATGCCTTTCCATCCTTCATGTAAACAAGCCCTATTTTTGCATGCTTATATGTGAATGGCAAGATGCCTCAGTTAAAGTCTGCTGTGACCTTTCGTCCCCTAAAAAGGAGGCTGGTGCTGGTTTAACTAGAAGTATCACTCAGGGACTAATACAATTAAATTCCAGAAATTAAAAATGGAATCAGAATTTTCCTGTTGTTACCTTATTTCACCCAGCAATTTATTCACTAAAACAGTCTGACATTGAATGGGGGCTTTTTCTGTGATTCTCTTGTGAATATACGGGCTCGTGTCATAGTACGGTCGCAGCAGGTGATGTGGTAGCCAATGCCAACTCCTCACTCGTAAACCAAAACCTGTCTGCTCAAGTCCTACCAGAGATGCTGGTTTTCCCGCTCATGATGAAGTAGCCTGTGGCAAAGCTAGGTAGGGCAAGGAATGGGCAGGGGAAAAGAGGGAGAGAGGGATGGACAGGGGGAAAGAGGGAGAGAGGGATGGGCAGGGGAAAAGAGGGAGAGATGGATAGAAAGGGGAAAAGATGGAGAGAGGTATGGGCAGGGTAAAAGAAGGAGAGGGGGATGGACAGGGGAAAGAGGGAGAGAGGAAGAGTGAAGAGTTGAGGAGTCCATCCTCATGAATAAAAGCTGTAACAAAATTACTGCATCTGTCTGTCCATTTATCAGAGATCAAGTACTAATCATCTGCGTCTTTCATGATCATGGTCGGCTTTTTATCTTCTGCTGCCTCATGCTTAAATGTAAATCCGCTGCATAATGAAGTGACCTGCATGTCATAGTCATAGGGGGGCGCTGAGCCTCTTTTCCTTGCAAAATGAATCACTTCTCCTATGAAAAAGCATGTAAGGCTTACACAGCCATCAAGCCATTTCTTGGCTGTTTACACGCAAGCCGCTGCCTCACCAGCTGAAACATGCCGGCTGTTCTTGGCCCTCGTAAACACCCCCCCCCCCCCCCCCGCCCCCATCATTTGAATGAAAGGCTTCTTGAAGTCAGGAAAGGGGCTGGGAAAGAAACAGGCCGCCCTGGCTCAGTAACAAGCCCCGCATTGACTGAGCAAACTTTGCGCCGGCCCTATTCCCAAAGTATTCCTTTGTAGTGACCTCGGGAATCGCCGGGGAGATTCCGCGGATTGAAGCCGCGACAGGCCTCCATAAATCACGTTCCGTGGGGCCGGCAGACGGCCGCGAAAACCGCAAAATGCATTCTGGGGGATTGGCGACAAAGAGGGTTATTTACGGGACCCCGCCGCCCCCCCATCCCTCCTGCCCCTCCCTCTCCAAGGAGATCCAGGCCTAACGGAAACTTGCTTGTCAGGGAAAAGCGACTTAACATCCATGACTGTTGAGGCGTTGGTGTTTTCTGGAAGACGCTTCACCTTCCGTGACAATTTGGCGCCGCCTACCTACACGGGCTTTCAGATATGGTTGAGGGCTGGTTGGGACAGTGATTGCATTTATTATCAGTTGGTATTCTAGCAAATTCCAGTGACATTCTTTGTTGATTGAATGGTCAGTTTTTGTGTAGCTACATGTCAACGGGCTCTGCAGTGTGAGATCTGACAAGTGTAAGGTATCACAAGCAAGTGAGGATGTACTGAATGCCAGGTTCACTTTGCAGCACTTTAAGGAAGAAGAATGGAAGCCTGGGGGGCCTCGGCTCTCGGTTAGATTATCGAAATGCCGTTATTCTTGCTGTTTTGGAAGAACGTGTGTTTTGATTCCGGGGAAAACCTGCTCCTCTGTGTCCATATTGTAATGGTGGCTGAATTCATTCATCGTGAGCTGGCTTTGAGAGCAGAAGCATGACACCGAGCCCCGCAGCAGCCTTCCTTCTGGCCCAGCTTAAAAAGGGCTTGTTTTCTCCAGTGAACTTCAATGCAGAAACGGCCCTTTTGCCATATAAACCTACAGCAGCGAACTACTGTCCCTGCTTGCAGATTCCAGCACAAAGCAGTAAACATTGTACTAGATACAAGATACAATATATCTTTATTGCCACTGTACAAGCACAACGAGATGATGTTTGGATCCTGTAGAAGCCTCAATAAAAACACAAAAATAAAATAAAATAACAGAAAAATAAAGTGCATATAGCAATTACAAATACACAATATAAAATTATGAGGAATATTGCACATAAATTATTGTACATGACATAAATGATTGCACCTGAGAAAGGCAGCAGTTGAGAGTTGTAGCATTACTGCAGGATAATGATCATGATCAACAATATCGCACAGTATTACATGGAAAACATGGGACACATCTGTGCTGCTGAGATGAATGTGACAGCAGCAGCGTCACAGAGTCAACATGGATGATTGTATGACAGCCGGGAGCCGGAACTGTTGAAGTGCCTATTCTCTCACACCTATTCCACACAGCCTTCACTGAGATCCGAAGTCCCTCTTCCTACTGTGACACCCAGAGCAATATGGAATGGAAAGTACATGCAGGCATGTTGCTTGGGAGGAACAAGCTTGCACGACCTTCAATAGAGCAGCACCAGAGCAGGATGTCTTAGCTTCAGATACATCTGAAGGCTTGTGATGACTTCCTGTTGTTTTTTCACATTTACAAGACCCCTAGAGCACCATGAGTCGAAATAATCATAGATAATAACCCAAGCTATGGAACATGACACCCAATGGACTGCTTGTTTTGCTCCAAGCCTGATTGGGTATATGTGGCCCATGGATGGAGAGATGATTGATAGGAGTTTCAGAGATGTGGTCATGGAATATGGTCCCGGGGACCGGGTTCACGTTTTGGCAACGAGTGCATTTTAAGCTGACGTCTCAGGGAACCTTGCCTGGTTTTCTTTTTCTGCTTTGCATAACTGCAGCCAAGTTCTAGTGGCGAAGCCTCGATCGGCCCAATCTTGGTGACCCGGAGCCTCGTCAGACGAGGATTCCAGTGTGTGTATTAAACATCCCTGTCTCATCATGTACCTTTTCAACCCAGCGTTTAAAAGCCAGCACTGC